GTTCCCCCTGTTCCCCCTGTTCCCCCTGTTCCCCGTGTTCGCGTTCCGCGTCGGGCCGGCTGCTCTATGCCGCCGTGTGCACCGTCCCGTGCATCCCCGTGATCGTCGTGGCGTTTCTCCGCGCTCCACAGGCGCCAGAATCCGGCATTCCGCTAACGAAAGCCGCTCCACCGTCGACGAGCAGCCAGCGTACACCAGCTGCAACGGCCTGATATCGAGTGCTCTCGAGAGGGCGACGACGTGTCTGCACGAGAACCACCCTCCCGATGGCGGACCACGGAAAAATGTAAGTGCCTGCAATCTTTTACTCCCGATCGATCCTGCCTTCGACACCCTGCCCGAGGCTCGTCTCGGGAATATTCCCGAATTCGACGGTACACCGTCGACGACAGACCGCGGAGAAACATCTAGAGGACGGTTTTAGCCCGATGCGTGGGCGATGGTGAAAGTGACGGATGCGAAAGTGTCCGCGGCCTACGAGCCTGACACGGTTACTAATCCGAGAGTAAATTCGGGATAGGCCAGCCCGTAGGAGCTGCCAGAGAGAGAGGTTATCCGAGGGACGGGGTAGAATTTCAGATTCATTCATAGGGATCGATCCCTCGCTTCCGCCTGCCTCCGTCCCCTGTCCTGGAGCTGCCGGGAGCGAGCGAGACGGAAATATCTCGACGGGTCTGAAACGTCCCCTTCAAGCTTGTACCCAACCTTGCACTTGAATCTGTGTCACTCTTTTTTACTCTCGTTCTCGTCTCGGCAGACTCGGCCGACGAGACGGTGTCTCTCGACGGGCACGAGCGATGCTTCCCGGCTGTCTCTCGCTCTCGCGACGCTCGGCAACGCTCCGTGCGCGACCTTGCCAGGTGTTTTAAACAATCTCCCTCTCTCTTCGCGAGGCTTTGACTGCCGGACGAGGGCCTGCCGAGCGGCGTGCTGGCCCGTGCCGTCGGCGAGCCTCTCGACTATCAATGCCCACGCTTTTCCGATCATTTTCCTCTTCTCGCGACGTCGCGCGCGCTTCCCACGCGTCACGTTCAAATTACCCTGCGCCTGTCGCTGCGCTCTGTGGTTAGCGTCGTTCGACGATGGTTTCTTCGCGGCTCCGTCACGTCGGAGAAAATATTCGAGCGGCGACGTGGTTTCCTCGAGTATTCGATTCAACCCATTCGAGACGGCGATTTTTATCGAACACGGTCGTGAGGACATTATTATTATTATTGCACGCGCGGTGTGCAATCGCTCTCGGATGGGTCAACCTGTTAACCCTTTGCACTCCAAAAATTTGTCACTAGAAATATTTATTTTTATGAGATATAGATGACATTTTTTTCAACTAACTCGACGAGGGATCTATTCACAAAATAAGGGGAACAATGGTATTCTGTTTCCACTTTTCACGTATCGACAGATTACTCGAGACTTGATGTTAAATACGAAATTTTACAATTTTGGTGCACCAATCTCGAATGGTGACTGAGAGGCACCTCTCGAGTGCAAAGGGTTAATCCCACAGGAATTCCCAAAGTTGGGCGCATCCGTTGCTAGGTGATATCTTCCGGAGCATTCAACTACAATCTGATCCTGTTTGCTAACTGCTCGGTGATCGATAAAGGACCCACAATGTGCGACTGCATTCTTTTACGCTCCGCTCTTTCGTCAGCATGACTAGCTGGATCGCGTTAGTTCGTTGCCTACGGAAGTTCTCGTTGGCAGGATGATACCACTACGATACACCTGCTGTCGACGCGTCCACCGACAGCTTCACGTGTTCGACTGACCTCGCGTCCACACTATTTACATTGTAATACATTAGCAAGAGTAATCAGATTCTTCGCTCACGGAACAATATTTTCGGTTTCCACTGTGGGAGGAGCTAAAATGTTTTAGAGGTCCACTCGCTTTGTCTCGAGCTGTTAGTACTACTATAAAATGACGTAGACTGTCTACAACTATGGAATCATTTTACGAACTTTTTTATGACTTTCATTTCTCATTTGTCAGATTGTTCGTTTACAGATTAACACGTTAGTCGCCATGGGGGTCACCGGTGACCTCAACCAAATGGAATTATCATTCATTCGATTAAACGATGATTATTCGAAAACTTTTCTATATTACAAGGAATACCGCATAAGATGTTACATTATTTTCATTATTTTCTCTCGGCAAAATCGTGCGGCGCTCGACGCGTTAAAGATCTGTCGCGTGTCGGTTACCGGTGTTAATTTGGTAAACGAATTCCTGTTATAATCTGTTTAATTGTCCTCTTCGAGACGCTGGAACAGTGGATGTAATAGAGAGCCGAGTGTCGATACGCCGATATCGGACAACTCAGAGACAGCCGTTACACGCGTAGCCGGCCGTGCGTCGGTGATCGCGACACATTAGTGGCATCTGACCCGTACGGTGAAGGTGAA